CTAAGGCTTTTGTTCCACCAGCACCAAATTTGCTCAAGCCGATCTACATCCCATGGCCATTCAAAGTTGTAAAAATCATGCCGCTGCACCCCATGGTTTACGTTCTAGGGGGCGCCAAAGATGACCCAAATATCCACATTCTTAAAAGAATCCACATCCCCCCCCCCCCCCAAGGCAGGAGAAAAAGTCCAGTTAACCCTGCCCATCGCTCAATGGCTCAATCGCATCGCTCTCCTGGCAACACCGCAAGGAGGAGCAACTTGCCATTTGGATATATCCTAGCTGTGTTTGTGCCCTCACTCATGGTCCAGACTTTTTTCAAATAGGACATGTAGTTTGTCTGCAGCGACCGTTTTGGTAGAAACTGCGCCTCCCATTCATTATAATGGGAAATGACCACAGACAAGTGCGCACACCATCTTTGGACCTTGAGTGTGATGCGATCGGGAGGGGGAGGCAGTCGTGCTGGGGGCGGCGCAACGTGGCTCGGGCCCGACAGTGCCCCACTGGGGCCCTAGTCTTTAGGGCCCGAGCCAGCTGCAGAGCAGCCGGGCGTAGAGCCCTATTATTCCTGTATAGGTTTTTCTTTCTTCTTTCTTTCTTTCTTTCTTTCTTTCTTTCTTCTTATTTTTCCTCCCCTTTGAAGGGGAAAATGGCCCACTTCCCACTGGCGAAAACTCATGAAATTTGGCAGGACGAATGGGCCTGGTGAAAAATTCGATATTCTGAAGTCCCCCAAACAATAAAATGCAAAATGGCTCCATAGCGCCCCCTAAGGTGAAAATTCACACTATTGACTGTCACGCCTTTACGCTTTGTCATATTGACACAAAAATTGACACACACATGTATCTCAATAAGATCTACAAAAAAGTCAGTGCGGGCGTATCTGTCAAATGTACGGTTAAAGGGTTATTTCGCATTTTTTGCCGATCCGCACACATTGGAATTTCGCTAACTCCTCCGAAGGCTTTCGTTCCACCGGCACCACATTTGCTCAGGCCAATCTACACCCCATGGCCATTCAAAGTTGTACAAATCATGACGCTGCACCCCACGGTTTACGTTCTAGGGGGCGCCAAAGATAACCCAAAAATCCACAGTCTTAAAAGTCTTATAACTTTTTATTTTTGTCCTCACTGGCCTCCAAGTTCTCTAGGATGATGCAATGTCCAGCCATCAACACATTTGTGAAGGAATTTTTACTCGCAAAAAGAGCGCCCCCCATGGCAGGAGAAAAAATTCCATTTTTTCTTGTCTCCTAAGGCGAAAATTCACACTATTGACTGTCACGCCTTTACGCTTTGTCATATTGACACAAAAATTGACACACACATGTATCTCAATAAGATCTACAAAAAAGTCAGTGCGGGCGTATCTGTCAAATGTACGGTTAAAGGGCTATTTCGCATTTTTTGCTGATCCGCACACATTGGAATTTCGCTAACTCCTCCGAAGGCTTTCGTTCCAAAGGCACCACATTTGCTCAGGCCAATCTACACCCCATGGCCATTAAAAGTTGTACAAATCATGACGCTGCACCCCACGGTTTACGTTCTAGGGGGCGCCAAAGATAACCCAAAAATCCACAGTCTTAAAAGTCTTATAACTTTTTATTTTTGTCCTCACTGGCCTCCAAGTTCTCTAGCATGATGCAATGTCCAGCCATCAACACATGTGAAGGAATTTTTACTCGCCAAAAGAGCGCCCCCCCCATGGCAGGAGAAAAAAGTCCATTTTTTCTTGTCTCCTAAGGCGAAAATACACATTGTTGACTGTCACGCCTTTACGCTTTGTCAAAATGACACAAAATTTTACACACACATGTATCTCAATAAGATCTACGAAAAAGTCAATGCGCACGTATCTGTCAAATGTACGGTTAAAGGGTTATTCCACATTTTTTGCCGATCCGCACACATTGGAATTTCGCTAACTCCTCCGAAGGCTTTCGTTCCACCGGCACCACATTTTCTCAGGCCAATCTACACCCCATGGCCATTAAAAGTTATTCAAATCATGACGCTGCACCCCACAGTTTACGTTCTAGGGGGCGCCAAAGAGGACCCAAATATCCACATATTTAAAAGTCTTATAACTTTTTATTTTTGTCCTCACTGGCCTCCAAGTTTTCTAGGATGATGCAATGTCCAGCCATCAACACATTTGTGAAGGAATTTTTCTCCCCAAAAGAGCGCCCCCCCATGGCAGGAGAAAAAGTCAAGTTTTTCCTGCCCATCGCTCAATGGCTCAAACGCATCGCTCTCTCGGCAAAACCGAAAGGAGGAGCAACTTGCCATTTGGATATATACTAGCTGTGTTTGTGCCCTCACTCATGGTCCAGACTTTTTTCAAAAAGGACACGTAGTTTTTCTGCAGCGAGCGTTTTGGTAGAGACTGTGCCTCCCATTCATTATAATGGGAAATGACCAAAGACAGTTGCGCACACCATCTTTGGACCCTGACTGTGACGTCACAGTTTGAGATACAAATGTTATTTGACCTCTGACCTTTAGTGGAGACCCTAACCTTTCAACACGCAAAAGCGTTGGACACAAACTGGCGGGAAGAACCACAAACGCCGATGAAGGATAAGGGTCTTTGTAGTGATGGGCGTTACCAGAGAGGGCGATGGCCAGAGGAAGAGAATGGGACGGGGAGGCGATCGCGTTGGGGAGGGGGCGCGACACGGCTCGGGCCCGCCAGTGCCCCAACGGGGCCCTAGTTAGGGCCCGAGCGTAGCTGCTAAGCAGCTGCGAGAGCCCTATTATTCCTGATGGATTCTTCTTTCTTCTTCTTCTTCTTATTATTTTTCTGCCCCTTTGAACTGGAAAATGGCCCACTTCCCACTGGTGAAAAGTCATGAAATTTGGCAGGACGACCGGGCCTGGTGAAAAATTCGATATTCTGAAGTCGCCCAAAAAATCAAATGCAAAATGGCTCCATAGCGCCCCCTAAGGTGAAAAATTCACATGATTGAGTGTCACGCCTGTACGCTTTGTCAAAATGACACAAAATTTGACACACACGTGTATCTCAATAAGATCTACAAAAAAGTCAGTGCGGGCGTATCTGTCAAATGTACGGTTAAAGGGCTATTTCGCATTTTTTGCCGATCCGCACACATTGGAATTTCGCTAACTCCTCCGAAGGCTTTCGTTCCACCGGCACCAAATTTGCTCAGGCCAATCTACACCCCATGGCCATTAAAAGTTGTACAAATCATGACGCTGCATCCCACGGTTTACGTTCTAGGGGGCGCCAAAGATAACCCAGAAATCCACATTCTTAAAAGTCGTATAACTTTTTATTTTTGTCCTCACTGGCCTCCAAGTTTTCTAGGATGATGCAATGTCCAGCCATCAACACATTTGTGAAGGAATTTTTACTCCCCAAAAGAGCGCCCCCCATGGCAGGAGAAAAAAGTCCATTTTTTCTTGTCTCCTAAGGCGAAAATTCACACTATTGACTGTCACGCCTTTACGCTTTGTCATATTGACACAAAAATTGACACACACATGTATCTCAATAAGATCTACAAAAAAGTCAGTGCGGGCGTATCTGTCAAATGTACGGTTAAAGGGCTATTTCGCATTTTTTGCCGATCCGCACACATTGGAATTTCGCTAACTCCTCCGAAGGCTTTCGTTCCAAAGGCACCACATTTGCTGAGGCCAATCTACACCCCATGGCCATTAAAAGTTGTACAAATCATGACGCTGCACCCCACGGTTTACGTTCTAGGGGGCGCCAAAGATAACCCAAAAATCCACAGTCTTAAAAGTCTTATAACTTTTTATTTTTGTCCTCACTGGCCTCCAAGTTCTCTAGGATGATGGCATGTCCAGCCATCAACACATTTGTGAAGGAATTTTTACTCGCCAAAAGAGCGCCCCCCCCATGGCAGGAGAAAAAAGTCCATTTTTTCTTGTCTCCTAAGGCGAAAATACACATTGTTGACTGTCACGCCTTTACGCTTTGTCAAAATGACACAAAATTTGACACACACATGTATCTCAATAAGATCTACAAAAAAGTCAGTGCGGGCGTATCTGTCAAATGTACGGTTAAAGGGTTATTTCGCATTTTTTGCCGATCCGCACACATTGGAATTTCGCTAACTCCTCCTAAATCTTTTGTCCCATCGGCTTCAAATTTGCTCAGGTCAATCTACACCCCATGGCCATTCAAAGTTGTACAAATCATGACGCTGCACCCCACAGTTTACGTTCTAGGGGGCGCCAAAGAGGACCCAAATATCCACATTTTTAAAAGTCTTATAACTTTTTATTTTTGTCCTCACTGGCCTCCAAGTTTTCTAGGATGATGCAATGTCCAGCCATCAACACATTTGTGAAGGAATTTTTTCTCCCCAAAAGAGCGCCCCCCCATGGCAGGAGAAAAAGTCAAGTTTTTCCTGCCCATCGCTCAATGGCTCAAACGCATCGCTCTCTCTGCAAAACCGAAAGGAGGAGCAACTTGCCATTTGGATATATACTAGCTGTGTTTGTGCCCTCACTCATGGTCCAGACTTTTTTCAAATAGGACATGTAGTTTGTCTGCAGCGAGCGTTTTGGTAGAAACTGCGCCTCCCATTCATTATAATGGGAAATGACCACAGACAAGTGCGCACACCATCTTTGGACCTTGAGTGTGACGCGATCGGGAGGGGGAGGCGGTCGCGCTGGGGGCGGCGCGACGCGGCTCGGGCCCGACAGTGCCCCACCGGGGCCCTAGTTATTATTTTTCTGCCCCTTTGAACTGGAAAATGGCCCACTTCCCACTGGTGAAAAGTCATGAAATTTGGCAGGACGACCGGGCCTGGTGAAAAATTCGATATTCTGAAGTCGCCCAAAAAATCAAATGCAAAATGGCTCCATAGCGCCCCCTAAGGTGAAAAATTCACATGATTGAGTGTCACGCCTGTACGCTTTGTCAAAATGACACAAAATTTGACACACACGTGTATCTCAATAAGATCTACAAAAAAGTCAGTGCGGGCGTATCTGTCAAATGTACGGTTAAAGGGCTATTTCGCATTTTTTGCCGATCCGCACACATTGGAATTTCGCTAACTCCTCCGAAGGCTTTCGTTCCACCGGCACCAAATTTGCTCAGGCCAATCTACACCCCATGGCCATTAAAAGTTGTACAAATCATGACGCTGCATCCCACGGTTTACGTTTTAGGGGGCGCCAAAGATAACCCAGAAATCCACATTCTTAAAAGTCGTATAACTTTTTATTTTTGTCCTCACTGGCCTCCAAGTTTTCTAGGATGATGCAATGTTTAGCCATCAACACATTTGTGAAGGAATTTTTACTCCCCAAAAGAGCGCCCCCCCATGGCAGGAGAAAAAAGTCCAGTTTTTCTTCCCCCCTAAGGTGAAAATTCACATTATTGAGTGTCACGCCTGTACGCTTTGTCATATTGAAACAAACTTTAACAATCACGTGTTTCTCAATAAGATCTACGAAATAGTCAATGGGCGCGTATCTGTAAAATGTACGGTTAAAGGGCTATTTCGCATTTTTGGTCGATTCGCACACATTGGAATGTGGCTAACTCCTCCTAAAGCTTTCGTTCCACTGACACCAAATTTACTCAGGCCAATCTACACCCCATGGCCATTCAAAGTTGAAAAATCATGACGCTGCACCCCACGGTTTATGTTCTAGGGGGCGCCAAAGATAACCCAAAAATCCACATTCTTAAATGTCTTATAACTTTTTATTTTTGTCCTCACTGGCCTCCAAGTTTTCTAGGATGATGCAATGTCTAGCCATCAACACATTTGTGAAGGAATTTTTACTCCCTAAAAGAGCTCCCCCCCATGGCAGGAGAAAAAGTCAAGTTTTTCCTGCCCATCGCTCAATGACTCAAACACATCGCTCTCTCGGCAAAACCGAAAGGAGGAGCAACTTGCCATTTGGATATATCCTAGCTGTGTTTGTGCCCTCACTCATGGTCCAGTCCTTTTCAAATAGGACATGTAGTTTGTCTGCGGCGAGCGTTTTGGTAGAAACTGCGCCTCCCATTCATTATAATTGTAAATGACCACAGACAAGTGCGCACACCATCTTTGGACCTTGAGTGTGACGCGATCGGTAGGGAGAGGCGGTCGTGTTGGGGGCAGCGCGACACGGCTCGGGCCCGCCAGTGCCCCAACGGGGCCCTAGTCTTATTATTTTTCTGCCCCTTTGAACTGGAAAATGGCCCACTTCCCACTGGTGAAAACTCATGAAATTTGGCAGGACGACCGGGCCTGGTGAAAAATTCGATATTCTGAAGTCGCCCAAACAATCAAATGCAAAATGGCTCCATAGCGCCCCCTAAGGTGAAAAATTCACATGATTGAGTGTCACACCTGTACGCTTTGTCAAAATGACACAAAATTTGACACACACGTGTATCTCAATAAGATCTACAAAAAAGTCAGCGCGGGCGTATCTGTCAAATGTACGGTTAAAGGGCTATTTCGCATTTTTTGCCGATCCGCACACAGTGGAATTTCGCTAACTCCTCCGAAGGCTTTCGTTCCACCGGCACCACATTTGCTCAGGCCAATCTACACCCCATGGCCATTAAAAGTTGTACAAATCATGACACTGCACCCCACGGTTTACGTTCTAGGGGGCGCCAAAGATAACCCAAAAATCCACATTCTTAAAAGTCTAATAACTTTTTATTTTTGTCCTCACTGGCCTCCAAGTTTTCTAGGATGATGCAATGTCCAGCCATCAACACATTTGTGAAGGAATTTTTACTCCCCAAAAGAGCGCCCCCCCATGGCAGGAGAAAAAAGTCCATTTTTTCTTGTCCCCTAAGGTGAAAATACATATTGTTGAGTGTCACGCCTATACGCTTTGTCATATTGACATAAAATTTGACACACACGTGTATCTCAATAAGATCTACAAAAAAGTCTATGCGCACGTATCTGTCAAATGTACGGTTAAAGGGCTATTTCGCATTTTTTGCGGAACCGCACACATTGGAATTTCGCTAACTCCTCTGAAGGCTTTCGTTCCACCGGCACCAAATTTGCTCAGGCCAATCTACACCCCATGGCCATTAAAAGTTGTACAAATCATGACGCTGCACCCCACGGTTTACGTTCTAGGGGGCGCCAAAGATAACCCAAAAATCCACAGTCTTAAAAGTCTTATAACTTTTTATTTTTGTCCTCACTGGCCTCCAAGTTTTCTAGGATGATGCAATGTCCAGCCATCAACACATTTGTGAAGGAATTTTTACTCCCCAAAAGAGCGCCCCCCCATGGCAGGAGAAAAAAGTCCATTTTTTCTTGTCCCATAAGGTGAAAATACACATTGTTGAGTGTCACGCCTGTACGCTTTGTCATATTGAAACAAAATTTGACAATCACGTGTATCTCAATAAGATCTACGAAAAAGTCAATGCGCACGTATCTGTAAAATGTACGGTTAAAGGGCTATTACGCATTTTTGATCGATTCGCACACATTGGAATGTGGCTAACTCCTCCTAAAGCTTTCGTTCCACCGGCACCACATTTGCTCAGGCCAATCTACACCCCATGGCCATTAAAAGTTGTACAAATCATGACGCTGCACCCCACGGTTTACGTTCTAGGGGGCGCCAAAGATAACCCAAAAATCCACATTCTTAAAAGTCTTATAACTTTTCATTTTTGTCCTCACTGGCTTCCAAGTTTTCTAGGATGATGCAATGTCTAGCCATCAACACATTTGTGAAGGAATTTTTACTCCCCAAAAGAGCGCCCCCCCATGGCAGGAGAAAAAGTCAAGTTTTTCCTGCCCATCGCTCAATGGCTCAAACACATGTCATGTGTTCAAACTCCTCCGAAAGGAGGAGCAACTTGCCATTTGGATATATCCTAGCTGTGTTTGTGCCCTCACTCATGGATCAGACTTTTTTCAAATAGGACATGTAGTTTGTCTGCAGCGAGTGTTTTGGTAGAAACTGCGCCTTCCATTCATTATAATGGGAAATGACCACAGACAAGTGCGCACACCATCTTTGGACCTTGAGTGTGACGCGATCGGGCGGGGGAGGCGGTCGCGCTGGGGGCGGCGCAACGCGGCTCGGGCCCGACAGTGCCCCACCGGGGCCCTAGTTAGGGCCCGAGCGTAGCTGCTAAGCAGCTGCGAGAGCCCTATTATTCCCCAAGTGGTTTTTCTTTGTTTCTTTTTTCTTTTTCCTCCCCTTTGAACTGGAAAATGGCCCACTTCCCACTGGCGAAAACTCATGAAATTTGGCAGGACGACCGGGCCTGGTGAAAAATTTGATATTCTGAAGTCGCCCAAACAATACAATGCAAAATGGCTCCATAGCGCCCCCTAAGGTGAAAAATTCACCTGACGCCTGTACGCTTTGTCAAAATGACACAAAAATTGACACACACATGTATCTCAATAAGATCTACAAAAAAGTCAGTGCGGGCGTATCTGTCAAATGTACGGTTAAAGGGTTATTGCGCATTTTTTGCCGATCCGCACACATTGGAATTTCGCTAACTCCTCCGAAGGCTTTCGTTCCACCGGCACCACATTTGCTCAGGCCAATCTACACCCCATGGCCATTAAAAGTTATTCAAATCATGACGCTGCACCCCACGGTTTAGGTTCTAGGGGGCGCCAAAGATAACCCTAAAATCCACATATTTCAAAGTCTTATAACTTTTTATTTTTGCCCTCACTGGCCTCCAAGTTTTCTAGGATGATGCAATGTCCAGCCATCAACACATTTGTGAAGGAATTTTTACTCCCCAAAAGAGCGCCCCCCCATGGCAGGAGAAAAAAGTCCATTTTTTCTTGTCCCATAAGGTGAAAATTCACACTATTGACTGTCACGCCTGTACGCTTTGTCAAAATTACACAAAAATTGACACACACATGTATCTCAATAAGATCTACAAAAAAGTCAATGCGCGCGTATCTGTCAAATGTACAGTTAAAGGGTTATTCCGCATTTTTTGCCGATACGCACACATTGGAATTTCGCTAACTCCTCCGAAGGCTTTCGTTCCACCGGCACCACATTTGCTCAGGCCAATCTACACCCCATGGCCATTAAAAGTTATTCAAATCATGATGCTGCACCCCATGGTTTAGGTTCTAGGGGGCGCCAAAAATAACCCAAAAATCCACATTCTTAAATGTTTTATAACTTTTTATTTTTGTCCTCACTGGCCTCCAAGTTTTCTAGGATGATGCAATGTCCAGCCATCAACACATTTGTGAAGGAATTTTTACTCCCCAAAAGAGCGCCCCCCATGGTAGGAGAAAAAAGTCAATTTTTTCTTGTCCCCTTACATGAAAATACACATTGTTGAGTGTCACGCCTGAACGCTTTGTCATATTGACACAAAAATTGACAATCATGTGTATCTCAATTAGATCTACGAAAAAGTCAAAGAGCGCGTATCTTTATAATGTACGGTTAAAGGGCTATTTTGCATTTTTTGCCGATTCGCACACATTGTAATGTGGCTATCTCCTCCTAAGGCTTTCGTCCCACCGATACCAAATTTGCTCAGGGCAATCTACACCCCATGCCCATTCAAAGTTGTAAAAATCATGACGCTGCACCCCACGGTTTACGTTCTAGGGGGCGCCAAAGATGACCCAAAAATCCACATTCTTAAAAGTCATTTTGGCCACTGCAGGAGTACAGTACTGCAGTTCTAGGGGGCGCCAAAGATGACCCAAAAATCCACATTCTTAAAAGTCTTTTTGGCCACTGCAGGAGTACAGAGTACTGCAGGATACACACACATATACACACACGCCAACATACACACACACACACACACACACAGACACACACACACACACACACTCAGAGTCTGTTTTTTAGCACCTGCAAAAACATGCTGTTTACATATTTGACAAGAATGCAGAGGCTTCCTTTTGCCCCTGAAAAAAATCAAATTTCAAACACAACTTGACTGTTCATTTCTCCAAAAGACAACCATGAAGCTCCATTTCAAACCTGAAGCAGATAGTTGGTGCATGTGTACAGTAACCTGAGGGGAGTGAGGTGACTATTTCTGAGGAGAACATGAGCAGTGAAGATTCACCTTGGAGCTAGAACAGGGACGTGCACATGATTATACAGGGGCAGGGGCTCAAGTTTTTTCCAGTCATTTATACAATATGGAAATTAATGTGAAATTAAACCACAAATATGTGTGATGAACTGTTTTTAAAACTTAAACTTCAAATAAAAATTGTAAACTTCAAAACATATGCAAATTTTTAACAAAGAACATAGTAATTTACCTCTATTTACATCAAAATGCAGGCAATGGCCCAGGCGTTCTTTGTAAAATTATTTACAAAACACTGTATAGTCTCACAAATGTCACTTTTTATTTATGCCACTACAAAAAAACATGATGTAAATGATGCATGATGTAAAACATGATGTAAAAAACTTGTGTAGATCCTCCTCTATGTCAGTCCATGTGTAATTTTTCCATAATTCTTTGTTTTTTGCAGCATTTTTGTTAGTGTAACTGCAGATTGTGCTGACAGTGTCTATGGCACAAAAAAAAAAAAAAATTAAAATGCCTCAACATGAACCCCTGGTGGTCTCTGAGGGTGAAACCTGCTAACTGCTGCAGCTCTGTCAGCTTCAGTCTCCCATGCAGAGCTCTGAGCGCATGTGTGGCTCTGCACCCTTAGCAGCGTTGCTAACTCCTCAGTAAGGAAAGCCTGCTTCATGTCAGAGTCTCTAAACTCCAGAAGAAGTCGATAAAAGTCCCTTTCTTTCTAAAAAAAAGTCGTTAGGGGGTCTGAAAAGTCATTGAATCTAACAACAAAGTCGCTAGGTTTGCAACTACGTGTCCCAGACTGCATCCCTGCTGAGAGTCCCTCCCTCGCTTCTCATGTTGCAGGAAGAACGTAAGCACCCGCCCCTTGTCAATCAGTCACCATATAATTTTGGATTGGTTGTTGTGGTGAAGTTTTCCACCAATAGGAGAGATGTTGTGGTGTGTTTTTTTTTTCTTTTGGCAAGCCTTTTCCGCCTGTAAGACCTGTCGCTAATGTCTGCATGCTATGTTTTCCTGTCTCATACAGCGCGATCGAGCGCCGAACGTGATCAAAATAAGCAGAAAAAAAGTATCGCGGACATAATTTATCATAACTCTGGTTTTATTTGGCCTATCAACACAATTTAAAAACTGGTATATAGGTTGAGGTCCTCACTTTTGAGATAAGTTGAAACGGAGAGTCAACGAGGCTCCGTCTTGCAGCTACATCCGGTTAAATATGTCATGTGACTTGAACGCACACACAGACACACACACACGCACACACACACACACACACACACACACACACACACACTCAGAGTCTGGTTTTTAGCACCTGCAAAAACATGCTATTTACATATTTGACAAGAATGCAGAGGCTCCTTTTGCCCCTGAAAAAAATCAAATTTCAAACACAACTTGACTGGTCATTTCTCCAAAAGACAACCATGAAGCTCCATCCAAACCTGAAGCAGGCAGTTGGTGCATGTGTACAGTAACCTGAGGGGAGTGAGGTGAGTGCTTCTGAGGAGAACATGAGCAGTGAAGATTCACCTTGGAGCTAGAACAGAGACATGCACATGATTATACAGGGGCAGGGGCTCAAGTTTTTTCCAGTCGTTTATACAATATGGAAATTAATGTGAAATTAAAACACAAAGTATTAATAGAAAGGTAATGACTGTTCTGTGTAGGTGACAGTGATATCCAATAGGCTAGGCACTCACGAGGCTGGCTGTGGCAAGTGTAAGTGAAAGCAACACGCACTGGCAGGAAGAAAAGCAAACGCAGATGAAGGAAAAGGGTCTTTGCAGTGATGGGCGTTAACAGAGAGGGCGATGGCCAGAGGACACAAATGGGACGGGGAGGCAGCACGTTGGGGGGGGGGACGCGACACGGCTCGGGCCCGCCAGTGCCCCAACGGGGTCCTAGTTTGTTATTAGGGCCCGAGCGTAGCTGCTAAGCAGCTGCGAGAGCCCTATTATTCCCCAAGGGGTTTTTCTTTGTTTCTTTAGGGCCCGAGCCAGCTGCAG